ATGCCCCTGTCGCTCTAGTGCTTGGGAGGAGAGACAGGAGCATGGATCCCAGAGGTTTGCTGGCCAACCAGCCTAGTCTGCTGATGAGTTCCAGGTTCAGAGAAATCCCAGGTCTCGAATGACATGGAAAGTGACATGGAAGACACATGACGTTGACCTCTCGATCCGCAAGCACACGGACCTGCTCACATAGGTGCACACATATCTATCCACCACACGCACCACTAGAACTATGAACCATACAACAAAAATCGACATCCATGAGAGACTTCAAATCAGATTAATACACATTTCTATCCAATATTAAATAGTCCGAGTTTCCATATCTAGTAAGGGGCTCAGAGAAGACAAACAAGAAATACACAGAAGTGATCAAAGCACATACAGGCTGTTTAAATGATAAGATAATTAATAAGTAAATATTAGGGCAATTATTCAACCTTGATAATAAGATATGAAATACAAAAGAAAAAAAACTTATCATACATATTAGGAAACAAAACACCAGGATGCCTATTTAATTAATCTGTTTATTTTTGTTTTTCAAGACAGGGTTTCTCTGTATAGCCCTGGGTGTCCTGGAACTCACTTTGTAGACCAGGCTAACTTTGAACTCACAAGGAGACTTCTACTTCCTGAGTGCTGGGATTAAAGGCATATGCCATGACCATCAGGCTGCTAAGCTGTATCTTGATAAAGTTCTTGTGCTTTGCTGATGTAACAGAAGACACGAATAACTTTTTGGTACACAATTTTAAGGTTTAAGCCAATGATCATGAAAACATAAAGTTTCATTCAGAAATACTCCTCGTGTTCTTATCCTAAGGAAATCCTCAAGGCATATGAAGGATACTGTGGTGGTTTGAACACGCTTGACCCAGGAAGTCACAGTTTTTAGGAGGTGTGGCCTCGTTGGAGGAAGTATGTGACTGTGGGGTGGGCTTTTCTGAGATTTCCTTTGTCAATGCAATTACTCTGATTCATATTTTCCTCTCTCTCTCCCTTTCTCTCTCTCTCTCTCTCTCTCTCTCTCTCTCTCTCTCTCTCTCTCTGACAGGGTTTCTCTGTGTACTCCTGGCTGTCCTGATACTCACTCTGTAGACCAGGCTGGCCTTGAACTCAGAAATCCGCCTGCCTCTGTCTTCCAAGTGCTGGGATTAAAGGCATGTGCCACCACTGCCTGGCACTCTGATTCTCTTTACCTTAGACTTAGTCTCAGGCAGACTCTTCAGACAAAGGCAAAAAGCAGCCACATTTTTCAGCAAAAATACCACAAATAGATTCTCTAGGTCAGAGTTTTAATCTATTATCATGAAGGCTGGATGCATGGCAGCATCCAGGCAGGCACGGCGCAGGAGGAGCTGAGAGTTCTACATCTCCATCTGAAGGATGCTAGAAGAACGACTACCACACAACTAGGAGGGTCTCAAAACCCGCACCCACAGTGACACACTTCCTCCAACAAGGCCACACCCACTCCAACAAGTCCACTCCTCCTAATAGTGCTTCTCCCTGGGTCAAGCATATTCAAAGCACCACAGATGCCCACTGCAGAATTGTACCTGCATTACAAGAATTCCTTATAAAGTGTGATAGTATCAAACTTTGGTATGTATAACTTTGTTATCTAAACACAGGCTCAGAGGGGGAGTAAAGAAACATAAGATGGTCTAAAATTTAATATGTAAGTATTTGGGATACGTGTTCCCTCGTTCTGAAACCAGCTACTGGCACCTATGAATAATTACTACCCATAGATGCTGCATGCAGACATTATATACGGGGCCAGTCACTGTCAGTGATAGAATTGCTATTTGAAATCAGACAGCCTGGTTTAAGTTTTGATTTGTATGCAATGCTGTAACACAGACGATAAGAAAAGTTAGGGAAAGGGGGGAGGAGATTCCCTCAATTTGTGAGTCATGCTTTCAGAATGTGAGGTACAGGCAGTGTATATGAATTTAGTATTATGTTCACGTTACCATTCCTTAAAAGCTGCTCACCCTGGGGAGCTGGCTCAGTGGTTAAGGGCACTTACTTCTGCAGAGGACCCAGGTTTTGGTTCCAGCATTCAAATGGCAGCTCATAACTGCTTGTACCTCCTGTTTCACGGGATCTGACATTACATTCTGACCTCTTAGGGTTTTTGCAGAAGTGTGATACACATACTCAGGCACACCCAGGTGCAGTCACACACACACACACACACACACACACACACACACACACACAGAATCCATAAAAAACTGCTCATGTGACATTTTAAGTAAGTTGATTTTGTGACCATCAATTTAAGATGAGGTGACTTTGCTTGCTTGCCCGGCCTAAGTTCCTATGTTCAACCAATTTTTGGGACTTACATGGTGGAAGGAACGAACTGACTCCTACAGATTGTCCTCTGACACATATCCCCAAGATCACCCCAAAACAATGAATTAAAAAAAAAAGGGCAACTTAAGCTCAGGTGTGCTTGGTATATTCAGAGGGGCTACATAGCTATTAAGTGACATCTAATGCTGAGTTTAAAGCCATCACTCTCGTCCTCAGAGATATATCAAGGTCTGCAAAGAATTGTTCCTTTATTTTGGGAGTTCAGGCACACATAGGGTCCCTTGTCCCTTAGGGTACCTCTAAAGGCTCACACTGAGATAACTGTCTGATCTTGTTTAAGACCAGCTGGGTGTTTCAGTAGGATTAGGAAGGATATCCATAAATAAACTCTATTTCACGGTATGGAGCATGTGCCTAGGTCTGTGTAGCTATTAGGACAGCTTTCATGTTTAGAGACAACTCAAAGGCAGACGGAAACACACGGACGTTCCCTGACAAGTGTGCTGGACCCAAAGCTCATGAAATACAGTTCTTGACTCCTGATTCATACATGTTTTAATGGTCCTTTTAAAATAAACCACATGCCTATGCTTCCCCTTCACCCCAGACCTTAAATTCCACAGGCTGAGCCAGCAGGAGTGCGCCCTTCCTTCAGTACTGGACTCACAGTGGTGTCGCTGGGATTACAAAGTCTTCATAAAACAATGGCCTCTCTTTCTCTTCCTGCTCTTCTTGTTCTTCTCTCTGTAATCTACCCAGGCACTGGTTTACACTAGTCCACCTATCGGAAATCTTTTCCTTCTTCCTCTTTGGCTGTCTAGATTGGGTTCATTCTTCAAGGTCTATTTTGAATGTAATCTCTTTTGCTTTCTTTGATGACTCTTCAACCACAGATAATTTCTTCCTTGTCTAACACCAGGTATTACACTAGGTATTACTCTCATAAGACTGACATTTTAACCTGTACAGTAGATATCTGTGGATGTGAAATGGCTGTTCCATTAAGATCTCTGACGTGGTACTGACCTTTGTATTGGAGGTAGCACTAGAAACATATTCCCTTCCAACATAAAAATAAAAATCTTACTCGATGAATGCAAACTCACTCAAGCTGTCCCATAATTTCCCATCCTTGCAAATGGTCAAAGAGATCAAAAGGCAAAACCAGCTTTTTAATGGGGCATTTAATTTGAGGGGCTAGGGAAAAATAGTTGAGGGACTTCTGGTAGGCTACGAAAGTATGCCTGGATTGTGTGGAAACCCGAAGATTGCCCTGGAAAAGGCTAAACATAATTTGAAGGCACCCATGGTATAACTTTATTTATTTGTGGTTTTAAGATGAACACAAGAAGTTTGGAGGCTTTAAAGGACATTTTATGAAAGGACAAATTTTGAATGCATTGCAAATTAGGTTACCTAGTTCACTTCCAAATGAAATAAAACCAAGTTAGAAAATTTAGCTACTTCTCCGTAGTGAAATAATAATAATACTAATAATGCCCAAGTAATGTCATTTTCTCCCTTCAAATTATAAGCTAATCAACGAGGCCTGTTAACCTCATATAAACATTTCATTAAGGTACTCAGATGACATTACTGCTACATGAATAATGAATCCCCGTCCCCAGGCTCTACCTAATTTACTGCCCTTTATTTGGTGGCTTCGCTTTAGAGCGCACAGGGAAAGGTGAAAGATGGCAAGAGAACCGGTTTAACTTGTATCCGAATACCTTGGCAGATTAAACAACACAACTCAACTTTTCCCCCCACGTCGTCCCATCCGCAGCTCTCATTTGTATCCCAATCAATGAACAGATGAGATGACCCGAACAAAGGGGACTGGCACCTGCGCCTTCTCCGTCGCAAACATTTCTTCCCACACAGGGCCCTCCCTGGTCAGCGTTTGGCCGACCTTTCTAGAGCAGGCTCCTTCTCGGGTCACCTCGGGACCCCTGAGCAGGACTCTGCTGCAGCCCGGGCTCTGACACGGATTCCTCCTCCTCCTCCTCCTCCTCCTCCTCCTCCTCCTCCT